GTAGTATGTCATACAGAGCTGAGATGTTTTTACAGATACTAGACATTGTTTAGGGTGCCAACGGTTTTTGGCTTCTTTTTATCTCGTTCTGTTCGAATAAAAAAGTCCAAATACGAAGAGTAACCCAACAAACGTCTAGTTTTTGAGATACTACTTGTCTTTTGAGACCTGCAAAAATTCAGTAGTATTATATTTTTCAAAACAAAAAAAAAGGTAGCCACCCTAAACTGTCTCTAATATGTGTAAAAAAATCTCAGCCCGATCGGGTGTACTGCGTCTGAGGAACGGGAGCGATTCTGTAGATTTCTGCTGAAAAATCGGGTTTATAGAAAACCAAGAAAAAAAGAAAAAATCTTGCTATACTCCTACAGCAATCATTTTATCTTTTCGATCTTATTTTTGATTTAGGACTATGTCTGAGTTCTCAAAATGTCACCAGTAGTGAGAGGACACTTGAAAGCACAGACAGAGCAAAAAAACCAAAACATTTTGAAATTTTGGGTTTGGAAACGGGGTGGCGCTTAAGGTCTGTCTCTGTGCAAAAAGAATAAAATAAAAGAATATATAGATCATTGGAACGAAAATTACAAGATGCTCAACCAGAATTAAAAACAATCGATGATAGTAATAAACAAATTCCATCATCTTCTACTCGTAAATCTTCATCGAATCGTATTGATGATGATGATGATGAAGAATTCAGTGATACGGATAGTAATGTTATAAATGAAACAAACCTTAAACGAATATAAACATATATCTTCTCTCTCAAAGCCAAATATTTCTATGAATAATATTGATGAAAGAAAAACCATTCAAAACTTGAGACTATTAATTTAACTGATTTACCAAATAACGATATTAGTTCAGTTATATGAAATATTTCCCTTGAAAGAAGATCAAATCAATCATTAATTGATTCTGGACAATGGACAAATATAATGTTATCAACAATCAGCAATAATGCATATCTATTTGGTATACAAAATTTATATAATTATTAAAAACTAATTATTGGCAATCACAACCAAGTCTTATTACAAGAGAATCTGTTATAAAAGCAGCACGTGATGATGTTCTTCCCCCTGGTGTTATTGGTCATTTATGTTCAAAAACAAAAAAACATTAATTTGTGCAAAAAGAAATTTCCTATAAAAGTTTATCTTTCTTTTGTATAAATTGCCTTAGTTAGTCCGGTCGTATTTGCTTATTTAAGAAAGGTGATGACTATTTGTATTTTCTTCTGGTAATCATCTATTTAGAAAATTCAATAAAAAGAATTGTATTGACAAAAAATATCAACTTGAGAATAAACCATCTGTTTGAATATTTGTTTTTTTTTCTTTTCGATTTAAAACCAATCATAATAGTAACAATGAGAAGTAAACTTGTAATATTATTCTGTTTTATTGCAATAATTTATCCGGTTACTTTAGTAGATCCTAGTTGTAAAGATAAATTAAATACAAATGAAGTCTTACATGAAGAACCATGTTTTATTAGTTATCTACCTAATGGAACACCCATAAAAATAAATATGGCACTTCTTTTTTGCTTCAATTTTTTTCTTTGAATAGCTTGTTGCAAAATGGATTGCTGAATATGGTTTACCTGATGCTCTTGATCTTAATTATGATATTACTCGTAAATATACACCACTATGGTATGATGAAGAGCTTCAAGGTTTTGCTGCTGGTAGTGGTGTATTATATTAAGATATTCGTCGACTTAATCTACTTCCAGAATTAACTAATGCTGCATGCAGTATATTAGGAGCATGGGGTGAGTCTACAATATCATCAACATTACTTCATCTTCGTTCATTAGATTGGGATAAAAAAGCTCCAATAGCTAAATATGCAAGAGT